AGGACTGCAAAGTTGACTTGCAAAATGCACTTGATGTCTTCAAGGCACGAAATTTATTTCTGAAATACTTTAAACCAACGTCTTATAGGTCCAGGCCACCGATCTTCAGAAGGATATTAACAAGATGAAGAAGCTTGCAGCAGACAGACACCAAGATGTTCTTGATTTGATTGACTCTCTTTCCGATACTAGTTCAGACACAGCATCATCTGTCTGTATGCTTGATTTCATTTCTTACTGCGCCACTGATGATACTTTGCAGTTAAATGGAGTGTTTTTAGGCGGTTTCAATAGGTGAGTGCTCATATATGACACCAGCCATTCTTCTAATGAGGTTGTTTAGCTCAACCTCAATCTCTATGCTACCATCAGAGCCAAAAATATTCCATGGCCGTGAATCAGATCTTTCACACATTCTAAGACTGTTCACAGAGGGAATACCACGGATTGCGATTCTAGGAGCAGGTGGAATGGGCAAGAGCAGTCTTGCAAGAGCTGTTCTTCATCACTCTGACATCTCTCTCAAATACCAAGACCATCGCCTCTTTGTTTCCTGTGACTCAGCTTCGACCAAAGGAGAGCTTGTGTCTCTTATTGGTACTCATCTAGGACTGAAGCCAGGAAAGGGCCTTGCTAGGCAGATAGTCCGTCACCTTTCTCATGGCCCACCTTGCCTCTTGATTCTTGATAATCTGGAGACAGCCTGGGAGCCAACTGGTTCTCGTCCGGAAATTGAAGAATACTTGTCTCTTCTGACGGACATCCAACACTTGGCATTGATTGTGGGTCACTTATCTTCTCTGTATTTCACTCAGTCTGATAGCATGCTAGATCACAATGCGAGGGTCCGAGCGGCCTGATAAAGTTTCCTGGTCTCGTCCATTTCTGCCGCCCCTACAGCCCTTGGCTCAAGAGGCTGCTCGGAAGGCATTCATTGATATTGCGGACGATGAAACACACGACAGCGACAGTATTGACAAGGTCTTGCTTCTCACGGACAATATGCCACTCGCAATTGACCTTATGGCTCACCTTGTGGACTCTGAGGGATGCGCTGCGGTTCTATCACGTTGGGAGGAAGAAAGAACCTCTCTGTTCTCAAGAGGATATGACAAAAGGTCCAACTTGGACATGTCCATTGCATTGTCCCTTGCAAGCCCTCGAATTGCGTCTGTGCCTTACACAAGGGACCTCCTCATACTCTTGTCTATACTTCCTGATGGGCTTTCCGACACACAACTTCTGCAAAGTAAATTCCCGATTGATAACATACTACGTTGCAAATCAGTCTTGATTCGCACATCACTGGCTTATAATACGAGCCAGAACCGGCTAAAAGTCTTGGTGCCCATCCGGGAACATATTCACAGATACTATCCCCCCAACCTTGAAATTGTTGAACCTCTGTTCCAAAATTATCGGGAGATTCTGGAGCTCTGGCAAAAGCATGAAGGCACTTGGTCAGCTGAGATGGTCCATCAAATCGCAATAAATTCCGCAAATATCCAGAACATCCTCTCATTCAGAATCGTCCAAGGTCGTCTTGATCGGAGTCAGACTATTTACTGCGGAATTAACTTGAGCCAGTGGAGTCGGGCTGTTGGCCAAGGGATGATTCCATTCATGGCCTCAATTCCTCAATATCTACCTCAGCCAGTTGATCACAGACTTGAGGTTAGCTTTATCATAGAAAGCATCATTTCTTCTTGGTTCTGGAACACACAGAATGCAGAGACCTTGATTGAGCAAGCTGTTGCACACTTCCCTTATTTCGATGATTCCAATATTAAATGTAAGTCATTCAATCAATGTCCTCTTGTCGAGACTTAAAATGAGTTGAACAGGTAAATTTTACAATCAGGTGGCAGGACACTACCGTGGGCAATTCAACCTTCCTGCCTCCCAAAAGGCACTCTCTTTGTCAACTTCAACTGGGAATACAAGCGCGCAATCTACAGCACTCAGGAATCTGGCATTGATTAAATGGAACCTTGGAGAGTATACTGAAGGGCAAATATATGCTTCTGAAGCACAGAGGGTTGCAAAACTTGGCACACATATACGTGAAGAAGTAGGAGCCCTCAATATTGGGGCTAGGTGCTCGCGTGAACTTGGAGACTATCCGAGGAGCATTACTCAAAGTGAAAGGGCACAGTTTCTCCTTGATCTGTGCGGTTTGTCTGGTGGTCCTGAGGTGCAGAACATCATGAATACACTAGCAGACATCCACGAGCTGAAATCAGAGTATATTCAAGCGGGGAAAATTCAGGCACAGATTCTTCATTGCACCCCCATTGAGCAAGATCCAATTATGCATGCAATTGCCCTTCTGAATATTGCGGAGATTGACATCTCACGGGGTGCACCAATGCAAGATGTACAGAAGAATATTGATGCAGCACGGGCAAGTTTGAAAAATCCACTTTGGAAGATGATCATTCTATGGTGTGATGCTGTTCAAGGAAATCTGTATCTCAGGGAAGGGAATATGCTAGCAGCCAAAGAAATCCTTGACAAAACCCTCAGGTCGACTTTGGGAAAGGACAGTGAGGTAGCAACTTATTGTCTTGGGAGACTGGGTGATATCCAGCGGTGGAGTCCTATATATTGGACATATACCTGGCCGACAGTTTTTCTCGCGTATGCTATCAATTCAAAACAGAAAATAGCAATCTATAAAGCTCTGCAATATCTAGGAGACATTAATCAGGCTGAGGGAGATCAGACTACAGCAACTAGCCTTTACACTGTTGCGTTACATGGGTTCACCAAAATGGATGTCCATCGCAGCAGGGCTGAATGCATGCTTCAGCTTGGGGACATTGCAATGGGAAATGGGGATTCCGGGAAGGCGGAGGAGCTTTGGGAAACGGCACGGCCTCTTTTTGAATGTTCGTCACAGGGGAAGAAGGTTTCGCTCATTGAGGCCAGGCTGTTAGCCATTGACAAAAATGTGTTGAAGCAACCGACCAAGGAATTTGCCGCCTTTCAAAACTAGGAGCACCAACTGGTCGGTGTTAAATGGAATGACGGATGAGATATTGGATCATGAATTAGCAACAGGTAAAGAGGTCGACGATCTTTTCGTCCTAGTTACGTACCCCGCTTCCCTGATATGTACCGTGTTTGAATAGGTTCCATATATCTGTTTGATTTTTTTTTTCAGAATTGAGTCTACGTGTAAGTGCAATTAAATCTGAGTAGCAATCCGATTTTAATACCCCTCAAAATTAAGGCTTGTGTTTAGTCCTGAAACATAATTGCAATGTAAACTTGATGTAAACACTCGTGCACAATTCCATTAACGGGTTCACGTTGTCGGTCCGTAGAAAAGGCCGGTTCTGGGCTATCCGGTTCCATTTGTCTCAGTGTGCCTCGGCCCTCAAGCATATCCCGGATCAACTACCATATGCATACTAGTACTAGTTTGAAGCCTTCTGAAGCCTTTATCTCCGTTGGCCTCAGTGCCGCGGAGAGACCCAGACAATGAGCCCGTGGCTCTTTCAACTCCGCGGACTCTGGAAAAATCTGTGTTGATATTCAGAGATAAGGCTGTAGTGACCACGAGCATCTTCTGGTCCATGCTGACTCGAAGGCTGGGGGGGAAACAACACCAGCACTGAAGAGGGAAAGCGGGCACAAAAACTTGCAAAATTTGAGCATGGAGGGGGTACAAGATGAAGAAGAACAACGAATCTGAAAATTCTGATTTATACACTCCACTGCTTGCCCCTTTCTCGCATTTATCTCGACCGCTCCTTCACCAATTCTCATCTCTATCCATTCCGGGAACACATTGGCCTTTGTCTGCGGCGACGACTGCTTCCCCAATTTTTACTTCATGCCGACAAATGGTGCTGCTGGGCTAGCTGATACCCACGCTCGTCGAGTGGGGGGGATCTTGTGATGGATACATAAGTTCCGCTTGTTGTCACTCGAGCATCTGGTCATCCGCTGATTTCTTACACAGTTCCCGTGGTTGCATTTCAGATCCCAGGGTATCCGTGGTCAAATACCTATTATTACATGTTCCCATAGTTACGCGACGCCTCTCTCTTGACTACAACGTCTCGCACTTATTTCTTATTTAGGTCACCCTCGAACCTACGGAATCCAATCAGCCCACGGCTACTGGGCATTCGTCAACGTTACCCAAAGGGATTTGTACACAGGTTCTAGTGAACTACAAATGACTCAAATCTAGAAACCGGTAGCGAGAATTAAAAATGAGAACTTGAATAGAAGAGAAATTGTGCTTCACACTATGGCAATTTTGCTGAGCAGTGTGAGTTCCACTTCTACTTAGTGGCCTACCTTGAGGATTTTGTCAACAAAGAATGGACAGAGAGTTGTCGAATGCCAGGACTTCGGCCGCGGTAGGTAGGTAGTGCGCATTTGATAATGGTAAAAACGAACGGTACAGATTTAACTTCCGTGTATATACCACTTTCTACGCCTCCTTCGCACCCCGTATCCCAAACGACCGATACCCGAGGGTTCTGTGAATCCATCTTTTCTTGCATCTTGTCATAGCACGCCGGGGGTAACAGTTTCGACTGGGTATATTGGAATCACTTCATTGACATCGGCAGAACATCTTAAATGTGGAGCTACGGGTATTGAAAGGAGTGTGGGGAAAGGTCAGAAAGAATTAGAGAGTGTAGACGCGTAGACGAAACGGGACCATTTGCCGTATCATGATCCGAGATCAAAATATTTATTTATTTCGAACAAATATAAGATGGGCGAGATGAGCTAAGAACGGAGCACCCCTAGTAGTGCCGCCAGGACCCCCTCTCAACTAAAATAGGGTCCTGTAAGTGAATCCAAAGCAATTATAATTGTTGGCAAATTCAGGCCACGATTTTTTTTTGTCACGACCACTGTCTGTAGCGACAGTGAACCGCACCTCGGGGGACAAACATGTTACTTTTTTTCCTCAAGAAAATAAAAAACGAAAAACCCTGAAAAAATCTTTGAGGGTACAGCAACAGTTCAAATGGACTGTGCCGGAATTGAACCGGCGACCTTTCGCAGGTTAACTGATGCAAAGCGAACGCGCTACCAACTGCGCTAACAGCCCAGACAGCTGTTGCCGATCAGAAGTCAATTACTAGAACTTTTAGACTGGCCAGTGACGATCCTTACAAGTTAGGTTGAATTGGTCAGATTCAGGCTATTACAAGTAACATTTATGGCACGCTTATTTATCCTCCGCCCTCTACTGTACTCACACAAAAGTGATATCGCCAAATTCAGGCGTCTGATGGAAATTCTAGAATCGAACGATGATTAACGGTAGAACTAGATGAAATATCAAAATGATACGTAACGTACAGCGGGGCCTGGGGTGGGGTTCCACGCGCCGTAGAACTGCGCCGGGAACGTGCTCGGAGCTGTGATGATGCGGAAGAAATTCATGCGCCACCGGGTGCCCTTCGCCTGCCCGTCGTCGACGTTGAAGAAGCCGAGCGGGATGCGCGCGGACGAGGTCCAGAGGCCCTTGGGCTTGTCCACGGTGGTTACGGCGGTCAGCCCGTCCACGATTGGCGTGGCGACGAAGAAGGTGTCGAAGGGAGCCCCTGCTGCCCGAACCTTCGCAGACGTCAAGTTCGCATGCATGGAGTAAGGAAGCGTACTTTGGACGGGTTGTAAATGAATGCCTGGAAGGTGACGTTGTTAGGGGCAACCTCGAATTCGAGGTACGTCTGGGGGTCGTTTGTGCCGCGCGAGATGAACGTCTCCATCGCGGTGAACTCGAAGATGGGGTCGTTCGTCGTGAAGTTGGGGTTGACAAAGAAGTTGGTCTCGTTGTGCGCCGTGAAGGTGATGTGGATGGCGCTCTTGTCGTAGCAGAGGTCGACCTGGGTGCGCGGGAAGGGCGCCAGGTCCGGGACAGATTTGTCGTACGAGATCGAGCCTTTGGCGGGGCATGCTGGGACCTGGGGAGTGTTATTGGTGAGAACTTGTGGCATGCAGGAAATAACGGACGTGTAGAGATGGGACCGCAGCCAGGGCTGGGACGGAGGCAGCAGCAGCCACGAGGATGGTGGTCAGAAGCATCGTTTGTGAGCTGGGCAGAAAACGTCAGTAGGGTGGGTATAAGTACGTACGCATGCGCGATGACTGTTGGTCACGGAGCCGTCTGCAAAGTCGGTTAGCGCTTAAAGATGACGTGATGTAAGTGGCTCGTGGTGTGGCGCGTGACTTCCGAGTTGAACAGTAGATTACATTCGCACCCATAAGAAACACGGCTCGATACTGGTGTCGGTGAGGTGGAATTTAAAAATAAACAAAAATTAAACTGAAATACTCAGTGAGGAAGGGAGAAATCGGAAAGTTCGGAAGAGGTTCCGGCTCAATATCAGGAGTCCTGATATTGAGCCGGAACCTCTCAGGACATTTCGGAACTTTCCACACATCGAAGCCCATAGCCAAATACCACCATCCATGATCTCGACACTGAAATAAAGCAGCAAAGAGACTGTACATAGGTCTGAAAACTCCGAAAAAAAGGCTCCACCTCCAAAATGCAGTGAGATTACCCCCCGAATATTTTCAAAATTTCTCCGCGCTCGGGACCATGATGGAACTCTCGATACCGAGCGCAGTTTTTGATACTGCCCGCGAGCGGAATTTCAATCCACCCAAATCAGGAAGTACCTCAAAAGTTGTCGGGAACCAGCGGAGTGGTATCGGGAAACTGAGACTATTTTATTGTTTTTACTGAATTTTCTGGACCGATAGTAATTCTGAGGGGCTAGAAAATCTTGATTTAAGTCATTGCATAAACTTCAAACTTTGAAGGGAAATGGGTGCCGATTTGAAGTTGGAGGAAGGGTATGGCGGTATCAGAATAGCAGCTGATGGTCGGTAACTTTCGGCAATTTTCTTTATTTTTCCCCATCGCCATTGGTATCGGGCCGAACTCCGTGGCCGGCACTACCACAATTGGAACGAGTTTAATGCAGCGCGGTATGCAAATACAATTAAAATGAATGAATTCTGATTCCATTTTGTGGGACAGGCAATGCTGATTGCGAGCGGCACCATATAACCACCGACTGGTCAAGGTAGAGGCGCGATGCGCCACTGCTGATTGTTTCCTCCGTTTCCAGCCTGAAGCTGAATCTATGTTCGTATTAGTGACAGTCACTTGCTGCCGGACTGCAACGAGGAGAACATGCCTCATTTCCAACATCGGGAACAGTCCAGAACAGGTCGTACGTGGTCGCCTCGGAGTCCGCTAATTGGATCTGCACGATGGTCAAGGAACCGCATTCTAGACAGGGGATGAACCGACAGTAAACTCGCCATCATTCTCTGCGACGGGCTGGATTATCCACTCCGTTGGAAGGGTCTTGTTGTTTGAAACGAGGAGGGGCGACTGTGAGCTCGTACATCAGGAACCGCGGGGAAAGGCAAGGTAGATGAAAGCCGTACGGCGGAATCCCGACTGGAGTAGGCGACACGCTTTCTCCCCAGGTTGCTCACTATGTGGTACTGCGCGCCGACGAGAGATTCCAGCTTCCACTGAAAATTCGTCAGCACGTCTCCACTCCAGGTGTTGGATAAACGAGAGCACCTCGACCTGGGGGCCATCCTCGGCCGGCGGCGCATTCGACAGCGCGACGGTCTCGCCTTGCACCGCTGCCTGTCCTGCTGGCTGGTTGTAGATGCGGTATAGATCCGGGCCGTGGCTGGGGCCCTTGAAGCAGAAGTTCTGGTGTTTCGATCAGCACATACTGTTTCCAAGTACGCTTTAAGACTCACGAATCGGGAGCAGGAACAGACGTCGCCGCAAGTTGGACCGCCGCAGTAGCCAGTGCACTTGTGGCTCTCCAGCGTCTGAAAACTCGTCAGTCTCTGCGAAGAAGGGGAGTTCTGGGGACGAACCGACAGGGACGCGGCAGATGCCAAAGGGAGGCGAAACGCAAACGCGGAGAGGGAGAGAATTGTGATGGCGCTGAGGTGCATGCTGCGTGCGTGTTAGTAATGCATGCACTTGCTTTTATCAGGTTTGCGTCTCCGAGAAGCCCGCGGTGTCCAAGATTGGAATTCCAGAAGAGAGGCGGCAGGCGATGATGCCAGAATCTTGTTCTGTAATTTTACAGCCTCCAAGGTCAGATTCCCGCGTGGTTCATTTGCACCCACAGCCCTGCTCTGCTGTGCTTGTACGATTGGTCGGAATCAGACTAGGATTCTCGAAATCAATGGAGAAATTTCCATTTAGTTGCACCGTGCCTCCGCTTCGCTTCGGCGGGAGAAGGCGGCAGAGAATTCATCAGAATGGCTTATCATTGACTCGTATTGGCGGTAAAGAACACTAGGGTCCCTATTACGCCGACGGGCATAAGAAATACGGCGTAACTTTCTTAAGATACGGCTCAATGAGTCAAAGCTACACGTCTAGATCCGGTTCCCGTACGTACTTACCGTGCGTTTAGTGGAAATTGAATCCATCCAGGTGCACCTCACCTTGAGCCAGAAAAATCAACACACAATCAACACAAGTGTCAAGACAATAAAATCCTTTTGAGAAACACGAAACCTGCCCATAATCCTGGTGGATCACTGGATTCAGGATCAGTTGTAGGAACATTGTTTGTTTTTGTCGATCCGGCGCGACTCCGACTCCATCCCAGGGTTTAAGCGAGCCGGGCAGGGCTTGAGATCTGAGCCCTGCCCTGCACATTACATACTAGCCATGGGCATTGGGCATGCAGAGTCGGCCGCGGGAGGGCGAACGAGCCAGTGTTCGCCCTAAGGGCTAAGGGCTAAGGCCTTAAGATGATCTTAAGGCCTCAGGCCTTAATTAAGGGCTTATATTAAGCCTTAGGTTGCGGACCGATTTTGGCTGAAGGCCTTAGATATGCTTACGTGTGCACGTGATTATCGAAAAGAAAATTCTTCTTCGCAGTCACCGTGTCGCGTCGTGTGCGTACAAGTCGCCGCGCGGGATAGCCAACGACAAATGCCCATCTGGGCATCCTTTTGGCCTCGGCCCATCACCAACACCTCTCACCAACACGCTGTGTGCGAGGCTTGTGTCGCGCACATTCTTCAAAATCCTCCGGCCGAATTAATATTGCACGAGATGGCGAGATTACTCACTCCGCCGTTTCAGGAATTTACCGGGCCGATACATGTATTTATATGTTCAAAGTATATAATACAGAATTTTCGGAGGTAAAAGTAAGCCCAATATGTAAAGTATATACTAGCATCAAATTATCTGACGTTGAAACGGCAGATATGCGTTCACCGTGTGAAAAATATACTCTTCACACTAAATAAACACAACACTTGACGTGCGTGCAAGTTCGGGGGTTCGGGACACAGTATATGTCCTTATCGAATCCGGATAAAATCCCTTAATAGTTAAAGGAGCGTCACTCCTTTAGCCCCTTTGGCAAGGTCTGTTCGGTTTGAACAATATAAAAATATATAACACAGAGACTGGGTCTCAGTGTGTGTTTTTAGAAGGGGTATAGGGCGGATTGGTGTTTAGAAGAAAGTGCTATTACAGTCCGTAGCCAGTCTTTAACAAAGGCACTATCACAGCACGTAGTTGCTCTTTCACAACCCTCCGTTTGGTAGTTTAGCACCTAAGTTATCAGGGCCCTCCGGCTAGTCTCAAGCACTAACTCTATCACAACCCAAAAATGTCCTCAGAGACTAGGTCTCCCCAAAAGCCAAAACCGTCCACAGTGACACTTGATCCTAAGATCTAGCCACCCAATAGATAGCCGAAACTGTCCTCAGAGCCACTAGATCAAAGATCTAGCCTCCCAATAAATAATAAATAACCAACAACCAATAATTGCCACAGAGCGCTTCCACCCAATTGACCTAAAGGTGCAGTGACAGTGTCTGGTCACTGCTCTCCTAGGGAATGGGGGGGTGGGGAAGGCTCCTGTACTCTATAATACATGCCACTATTTATACTGTTTCCGAGATATATCTATTTAATTAAAACTCCGCAATATTTACTGCTCTATTTCCGGTTTGAGCCATTTAAATAATAATATATCCATTTTTGGAATGCCGGCGGTCATTATTTCGGCCATATCGACGAGTCAT